TGCAATGCACAACGGGAAGCAGGTTTTGGATGCAGGTGTTTTCCCTGGGTCTCGATGCCTGTGTTTGTTTAAAGCCAATGGAAATTTTGGGAGGCTGGAGTTCAAAATGACAGTCTAGATTCTATTTGCTGTCAGGATCTCCTGGATGTCGTGCACAGATGTACATATCTAGTGTCACAAGACAAGGTTGGAATGGGCTTTGAGTAAACTGGTCTTGTGGGAGGTGTCCCTGCCCATAGCATGGGGTTTGTAACTAGATTATCTTTCAGGTCTCTTCCAATCCAAATTTTTCTTTGATTCTATGTGTGGTGAATCCCACACGTGATATCACTGTTCTTGCTTGATGACTCTTATTTATGAAGAGCAGCTGAAACTGACTGAAGTTTCGTAACGTATTAACAGCAAGTTAAGAAAAGAAGTGTCAGGTATAATCAACTACTTCTATAGTTTCATATTGCTTCTCCAGTAACAGCTTCCAAACAGGAATATTCACCCTTATGGGGCAGATATTGCGACAAGGTGGTAGATATTATGATCACTCAAATTTTTAAGTTTTATAAAGCATCTAGATCCTGATTTGGAACTCAGATGCCTGGAAAATGGTAATTCAAAGTAAAAACCTCCCATTTTGTTCTAAGGTTACCTGTTGACACCTGAAGTTCTCTAACCTGTCCATCCGTAGCATCATGAGAGATGGAGCATCAACAGAAAAAAGCTTAAGAGGGACAGAGGTTGAGCCAAATTGGACTTACCTTGTTCACCAAGGAGAATAAGCCAGGAGATGTGGATGGAGAGGCTTGGAGTGGAGACAGCTTTTATACACTTCTCAAACTGCTTACAAATACAAAACACCCCTTGTGCCTCAGGTCCTACATAGTTAGAAAACAGCCTTCACATCGAGGGGTGTAATTTCGTGTGCTTTGCACAGCCACTCCCCACCTGCAAAATCAGGTGTGATCCAAGGTCAATACTCACTTCGTGGGCATTGGGCTGGTGAATGATGAGATCTTTCAGACATCTAATAGCCAGCGTCAGCATTGGGGCACCTGATGGTTAATTCTACTTGGAGTTGTAAGATAATGAGTTTGATATTTAGGCAGGTGAGTAAGGATCAATTAAAGTTATCTGTCTTTTTAAAATAGTGCCATTTAAGCGAATATGATGCAAACTGGTTAAAAAGGAGATAAATAATAGAAAGAGGGAGAATTTTGGGTATCTGTATCTGGTTTAGAAACATGGGGGATTTAGCATCTGTATTTGTAGATCAAATATTATTTACTCATGAATTATATGGTGGATTCCACTCTTATTTTTACTGCTGTCCTTGGAATGTCATCGAGGCAGTGACACTTCAGCGATGTTCCAGAACATCCCAGGAACGATAAGAGGCTTGACAAACACCCACTAAAAATTCATATTTGATGCGTTGCACCCTTATTATACAGAAACATGCAACTATCAGCACACGGATCTTGTGCAAGAGCATTGATTTAGAGATATGTGACCAAAGTGCTGTGTCATTAGGCACAGCTTTATGCATAAGAGAGGGGGTCATTTAGAGGTGATCTGGAGAGTCTAAGAGTAGAGGTTTTAGGATATTTTTAGTTTAAAACTCCTTGCATGGACAGATAGCAAATTAAGCCTGAAATTTCAGTTAATTTTTAATGTGGCTTTTTTACCCTCCTCCTCTAGACTTTAAGGTGAGAGACATTTCAGGCATATTAGCAAATTACTTGTTCATAAAGGGAGGTGAAGCTACTCTCTCTAGTCCATGGCATGCACATGTCACAATCTCCCCAAACATATTAATACTTTGTAAAACAATTTGATATAATGAATGAAAATCAAACCATTGCAAGCATGGAAGTTATAAATCAATCTGGTTAGGGAATCAAGAAGAGTGACACTGATTGGCATAATTTTAAATGATGCTGTTTCATAATATGGGAGCTTCTAAATCCTGCCCGTCTTCATTTAATATGATAATAACAGAAATTGCAAGCACCAGGTATTAAAGAGTACTTGTGAAGCAGCTTAAAGTCATTATCATTCAGGTGCCTCTCATTATTACCACCAAATCCTGATGACACTTCAAAGGCCCAGCTATCTTACAATTTAGAGGCAATTAATAGCCTATCTTTTGCAATATTGTAAAATTAGAAAACAACAGATTTGCAAATAACTGTATGATGCCACAGCCCCATTAAAATTTAGCCTTTTAAATATTATTTTATTAATTTACCTCTTTTCTTTAAGAGTTCAGGGGTGGGTGGAAAGAAAATTTGGGTTGTTTTAAAATGTATTTCTAACTGAACTTCTAGAAGTAGAAATCTTGAATTGTTGGTATTGGCTTTAGACAGAGAACCTGTCAACAGTTCTGGCTACGTCAGTAAAGTCTTTTCTGCCTCATTGGAGGAGTCACTCAGTCCAGCCATTCCTCTGTCATCTGAATTGTGTCTGAAGACTTGAAAAGGATGTTGGGAAAGGTTTTGATGGACTGATACATGGGTTGTAGTTAATATTTCTCGTGGGACTATCATTTCCCTATATCTTTTGACAGGTCTAGTAAATCAGACACGGATCTCCTTATCAGATGATGTTTAGAGCACAACCTAAAAACTTTGCCAGGGTTTAACTGGTTTGGTGCTGTTATTGATATCCCACCAGGAGTGTGCCTGTGTCATGTCAGCTCTTTGCTCTGCTGTTTAACAATGCTTATAGACCCCTAACCAACTGCAAGGAGCACTCGTGTTCTCTCAGAACCAGAATTCTAGCTCACATTGAGTGACCTTCAGCTGGTTCGTGCAGGTGGCACCAAAAAGGGCCCCACACCCTGTGAATATTATCTGGAACATCAAAATGGGGCGAACGTGATGCATGACTCTTGATCTGGTTTTCAATCGGTGACTGTATGGCAACCCTTCAGCTGTAAGTTCCCCAAATCCCCTAAAATGACAATTGCAGGTGACTGATTGTCATCAGCAGCCATATCACACCCATGCTAACGTTTGGGAGGGACGATGCTGAGGTGGCAAAATTAAAGCTCCCACTATCACGTTTGTTTTGTAACAAATTAGGACCAGAGGCACATGGGGTGGCTTGAAGAAGAGTATAAAAGCTCATCTCACCCAGAGCCCTTCCATCCACTTCTCTTGCCTCGGTCTCCACAGTGAACAAGGTAAGTGTGATTTCACTCGCTCTTTCTACTACTATCAGCATTAACTTTACCAATGCTTTTGGCACAGAGATGGTTCCTGCACGTGCTTTTACAGACTTATGTTCTTGGTTTACTTATGAAAATGTGTTTTTGTCCAGATCCAGCATCAGGAGCCACTGCACTAGGATAAGATGTAGATCTCCAAGCTATAGAAATGCTTGGGGTGACTTACACCTCATAAAGTCTGAATTAATATTAATCAGCCTTTTCTCCTGTTCTTGGTGGCTTCTTTTTCCCTAGTGCTTAGGCTTTGTGAGTACATCCTCACCAGTCCAAGTTACTACGGGCAGATCTAATTTATACAGTATTGAAGATCTGCTTCACATCAGAGTATTTACAAAGGTGATCAGGATGAGATGAATGAAGGACAAAGGCTGAGTTGATCCAAGAATGGTTTATTTATTGGCATGTATAAATTTATGTGTTTCCCTGTTGACTTCTGATACATTGGATACAGTCATTGCTTGATAATCGTGGCTCATCTCCTCCCAGCTCAGCTCTGGTATTTGTTCATTTACCTTAAAACCTGCTTCCCGTTGTGCATTGCAGACTCACAGCCACCACAAGAAGGATGTCTTCCTACAGCGAGTCCTGCAGACCCTGTGGGGTGTCCTGCCCTCAGCCCATTGCCGAGAGCTACAATGAGCCGTGTGTGCAGCAGTGCCCTGACTCCAGAGCAGTGATCTTGCCGCCACCAGTTGTGGTGACAATCCCAGGCCCCATCCTTAGCTCTTATCCCCAGGAGAGCTTTGTGGGGTCATCAGGCCCGGCAGGGTTGGGGAGTTCGTTCAGCTCCCGAAGCTCCCAAGACTATGGGAGCTCCTTGGGCTATGGGAGGTCACGGGGTTCCGTGGGCTCCTTTGGTTTGGGAGACTATGGGAGTTCTGGGAGCTCTGTGGGCTTGAGGGGCTCCTCAGGCTATGGAGGCTCCCTTGGCTATGGGAGCTCTGGAGGCTATGGGAGCTCTGGAGGCTATGGGAGCTCCTTTGGTTTGGGAGGCTATGGGAGTTCTCTGGGAGGCTATGGGGGCTCCCTTGGCTATGGGAGCTCCCTGGGACTGGGGGGCTACGGGGGCTCCCTTGGCTATGGCCGTTCCCTAGGTTATGGAGCTGACAGGGTCTATGGGGGCTCCCTTGGCTATGGG